CAATGCATGGACAATACTGCTGGCCCTCCAATTTCGTCTTCGGAGCAAGGCCAACGAAAGAGGAAGGGTCAGCAGAGCCCCGGGAATAAAAGACTGAGTAAATCATCCAGAAGTTGTTGATCTTCCGGGCGGTCCAATTTCGACCCAGCTATTCAAATCACTCGCCAGACCCATCAAGGACAGAAAAGCTCTTTGTTTACCGACTATCACCCTCTTCCCGCCCAAGACAAAGCCTGCATTCCAGCGGGCAGGAAATCCAAATCCCATCATCTTTCCCCTTTGTTCCTCAGCCGTCCCGCCTCTTCGCTCCTGATTGGCCAGGACCCAGGAAGCGAGCGGAGGGCGCCCATTGGCCCTCCCGAGGCGGAGAAACCCTCCCATTGGCTCCTGACGGAGGCGGGCTGCCAAGCCTCCTCCCAGCTGTTCCAGCCTCAGCCAATCAGCGTGAAGCCGGCTGTCAGGGAGCGGGCGGGATTTTCAAACTGCTTTCTCTTTGTTCTTCATGTATAAAAATGCTGGAAAATCTTTGTGCTGTATGCTTGCAGTGGAACGATTCCTGTAACGCATCCATTCAGCTGAATCGCAAATAAACGCCTCGATCGTTGGACTCCTTCGCCTGGTGAGCTTATTTGATTTTAGTTATCTTTGGCGCTCTTGGATTGGCTTCCGGAAAAGCTCACCAAGGTATCCAGGACTCTCTTTGGTGCAGTCCTTGGGCTCTCCTCCCTGGAGGGGCCCCCCAAAAGAGCTCGATATCACATGGACCAAGTTTGGTTCAATTCCATCCTTGGTGGAGTTCAGAATGCACTTTGATTCCCCTAAGCAGTAAGAAGCTACACCTTGAAACTGCTAGGGGCCCAGTAGTTCTCAACCGGGGGCCCCCACATGTTTTTGGCCTACAACTCCCAGAAATCCCAGCCAGTTTACCAGCTGTTAGGATTTCTGGGAGTTGTAAGCCAAAAACATCTGGGGACGCCAGGTTGAGAACCACTGTTAGGCCATTAAATGCTAATCAAGGCGGCCAATTCCAACATTCACACTTGCCTCCAGCAGACAAAAGTTCTTTCTCCCACCCTGGACATTCCCCAAATATATAAACCCCACTTTCCTAGTTTCCAACAGACTTCAAAAAACTCTGAGGATGCCTGCCATTGATGCAGGCGAAACGTCAGGAGAGAATGCTTCTGAAACATGGCCATACAGCCCGGAAAACTCACAGCAACCCAGTGATTTCGGTCATGAAAGCCTTCAATAATACAAAGCTACATAATTGTATCCATATTTCACTTTGGTTTTGTGTGGAACTTTCATTGGAAGCCAGAAGAGGGGGCTTTTGATCTCTCCCCCGCCCCCCACTCCCCCGCCTGGTTTGGAAAATCCCACCCTGGAAAGTCTTGGGAGTCTCTCCTCCTGCATGGGTCGTCCAGTTGACTCATGGGTTGACTCATGGATTGATACCAAAACCTCCTCTTCATCTACCCTTTCGGTTTCGGGACCTTTCTCTCAAAAGCAACCTCTTTCTTCTCGCAGCCTCACCCTTGAAGAGCAACCCTTTGGATTAAATACCTCCCCACCCACCCACACACACACACACACACACACACACACAAATAAATAAAAGCCCTGGGAGATAAAGAGCCCCCTTCAAGCCTTGCAAAGCCCTCCTTTGTCTCTCTATTGCTATCTCTAGAACTACCAGATTTGCCTGCTTAGCAAAAGTTTCACCTCAATAAAAGGAGGTAGGAGAAACCAAACAAGTAGCTGGGTGCATTTACATCTCTCCCCCCGCCCCCCACTCCTTCTTTCAGCCCAAGTATAGTCAAAATATAGGTTTCCCACTATTCACTTTTTCAGGTATCCATGGGAATGGGGTATTTTGGAAGGTATCCCATGTTGATATGGGAGTTGCAATGTACAGCTATTTGTTTATCATTCTGAAACATTACTGAGTCAAATAATAACCTGGGAATCTGTCTTGTAAAGGGAATAATAATAATAATAATAATAATAATAATAATAGTAGTAGTAGTAGTAGTTGTAAAAGGTAAAGGTTTTCCCCTGACATTAAGTCCAGTTGTGTCCGACTCTGAGGGTTGGTGCTCATCTCCATTTCTAAGCCGAAGAGCCGGCGTTGTCCATAGACACCTCCAAGGTCATGTGGCTGGCATGACTGCATGGAGTGCCGTTACCTTTCCGACGGAGTGTACCTATTGATCTACTCACATTTGCATGTTTTCAAACTGCTAGGTTGGCAGAAGTGGGGCTGATGGAGGAGCTCACACCACTCCCTGGATTTGAACCTGCAACCTTTCAGTCAGCAAGTTCAGCAGTTCAGAGCTTTAACCCACTGCGCCACCAGGGGCTCCAATAATAATTTTATTTATTTATTTATTTATTTATTTATTTACAGCTTTTATATTCTGCCCTTCTCACCCCGCAGGGGACTCAGGGCGGATTACAGTGTACACATATATGGTAAACATTCAATGCCAATTTTGACATACAGACATATACAGACTTACACAGAGGCTATTTAACTTTTTCTGGCCGCCAGGGGAGCGGTCGCTTTAATCGTCCCTCTACGACGCTGATGAAGTACCTCCGCATTCCTCTCATGCTTCCCCGCTGGAGTGCTTCTTCATGGCCTCATAAATTAGTTAATTTTAGCCTCCCCACACTTTTAAGGTGGTACCTTATTTTCCTACTTGACAGATTTTCCTACTTGATGGGTTGCAAAGGTCGACAACGGACTACACAATGATTGGAAACCCACTCCAACCCGGGCTGGCTTCGAACTCATGACCTTTTGGTCAGAGTGATCTTAATGCAGCTGACACTCAGCCATAATCCCGGTGCTACACAACTGGACTTAATGTCAGGGGAAAACCTTTACCACTACTACTATTATTAATAATAATATTACTATTAATAATTTTATTTATATCCCACTTTTCTCCCTAAATGGAATGCAAAATAGCTTACAGCATTATATAAAAGACTATACAAAACTATATGCATATGTGAAATAATAACCTATAAAAACAAATTTACAATAAGAAATAAACGTATTTAAAAACATTTGTCTAATACAATTATTGCAATAAGACACATAGTAAAACATTAGCACAACTCAATAAAAGTTAGGGAGTTAAAGAAGGACTTCACTTTTAATAGAAGAATATACAATAATGTAGACCAGATTATGATGTGAGTAAACTAATTGTTCATGGGTTGTTATTGAGTTGGTCAGAATGGTGGGTGTCAATTTGTAAATTGTTAATGTTAACAATGACCCTTGCTCAGGGTCAACCTAAGTCTGAAATTACTTGAAAGCACACAACAACAATAATCCTATCTCATCAGCCAAAAGCAGGCACACACTTCCCATTGAAATACTAATAAGTTTATATTTGTTAAAATTGTTCTTCATTTTAATTATTGTATTGTTTTTAAGTGTTTTTTGCACTACAAATAAGATGTGCAGTGTGCATAGGGATTAATTCATTTTTTTCAAATTATAATCTGTCCCTCCAACAGTTCGAAGGACTGTGACCTGGCCCTCTGTTTAAAAAGTTAGAGGACCCCTGGTTTAAAGTGTATACCAATCATAAATAAATTTCATATTTAGACATGAGTTCCAACTCCATTATATTTTGTTACATACATATATTCCAAAATCCATAACATTTTAAGTGTTTTGGATAGAGACACTCAACCTCTATTGCAAAATATTTTTAATTCGTTTTTTGAATGAAAAGTACAGTATCGCCCTTTGTTCATGGATTTGATATTCAGATTTCACTTATTTACACATCACAAAATATTCCCCCTAGAAGGATGTGTTGGCCTGCCTAGGGTCTTTAGTGCAATTATATGGTGTGTTTCTGGCCCAAGTTCTATCAAAATCATTGGTTTCAGGTGTGTGTCTTGAAATGTGTCCTCTACAAATATTGATGTCTCCATCTATAAAAATATTCTGAAATATATGATTAATCTGTCCACATAAAATTTGATATCTGGTTCTTGGCTCTTTCAGCAGCTCATCAAGTGAATTTATTTATTTTTACATTTTCCAGTTTTTTTTGTGAAATATTTCAATCAAGTTGATAATGCACTGTATTGTCAAAGGCTTTCACAGCCGGAATCACTGGGGTGTTATGTGGTGCCATGTTCTAGCAGCATTTTCTCTTAATGTTTTTCCTGGTATCTTCAGAGGATGTGATGGTAATCAAGCAAGTGGAGTATATATAGCTGTGGAATGTCCAAGGTGGGATAAGGAACCATTGTCTGTTAAAGTAGGGTAAAGGGTGTAACCATTGTTTGTTAAACTAGTTTAGCAGTCAATGGTTCTTTCTCCCACCTTGGATATTCCACAGGTATATATATACTCTAATGCTTCATTCATTCATTCATTCATTCATTCATTCATTCATTCATTCATTTCACAGACTTGTACCCTGTCCTTTTCACCTCGAAAGGGAATCGGGGTGGCCTCACAACTGGCAACAATTTGATGCTCAACAAACAAGACAGATTAAAAAAAAAACAATTACATTTAAAATCAGCAACAAAACAGAAATTGTTAAAACAGCAATTAAATTCATGCAAGTTCAAAATTGTAGTCCAGAATCAGTCCATTGGTCAGTCACCTTAAGAGATCTCAAGTATTGCATTGCTATAGTTACTGCTCAAATGCTTGGTCCCATAATCATGTCTTAAGTTTTTCCCCCTGAAAGACAGAATTGAAGGGGCTGTTCTAATTTCATTGGGGAGGGGGTTCCATAGATGAGGGGCCACCATTGAGAAGGCATTGTCTCTTGTCCCCACTAGTTGTGCTTGCGAGAGTGGTGGGACCTAAATCAGGGCCTCCCCAGACAGTCTTAAGCTCCACAATGATTCATAGGAGGATATATGTTCGGACAAGTAAGCTGGGCTGGAGCCATTTAGAGCTTTATAGACTAAAGCCAGCACTTTGAAATGTGCTCCGTAGAAGACTGGCAGCCAGTGGATCTGGCATAGCAGGAGAGTCGTATGCTCCCTGAACAATGCTCTGGTGAACAATCTGGCTGCCACCTGTTGGACTATTTGAAGCTTCCAAACAGTCTTCAAAGGTAATCCCACGTAGAGTATATTGCAGTAATCTATATGGGATGTAACAAGAACATGGACCACCATGGCCAAGTCTGACTTTCCAACTGTGCACAAGTTTTAGTCGGGCAAAAGCTCCCTAGCCACTGCCGAGACCTGGGGTTCCAGGCTCAATGATGAATCTAGGATCACTCTCATCAATATTTCTAAAGATGCCAGCCACAAATGCAAGTGAAATGTCAGGAGAAAATGCTGCTAGCACATGGCCATACAACCCGGAAACCTCACAACACCCCAGTGATAATGCATTTCTTTCTATCTTTCAAGCGTTTCCTTTTACGCTTCAAAAGCCCTCCTGACCACTGGATTGGTCTCCGAAGAGATAATCCAGAGCAGCCCTAGAGATGGATCAATGGTACCATTTTCCACAAACGGTGAGCATTTCTTCTGTATGGTCTCATGAAGAAAAAATCAGCTCAAAAACCAGATTGCATTGATGTGACATAGTAATATCAGACCTTAAAACATCATTTTTATAAATGGGTTGCAGATAGTGTCACTGTTGAGTGTGATTACATTCTGCAATAAAAATTAAAATTAATACTTCTAAATCCCATTTGTTTCAATGTTCTATTGCTGTTTAGGCTTACAATTTATGGTGGAGGAAGATGTGCATATATGATATCTGATGCTATCGCCAGCTCTAGTTGCTCGAGAGAAGAACACTGGATCTGCAGCAAACCAGTTGAGAGCTGGGATTGTGTCACTGTCTGAATCCAGCTTTTGTTGGCCCATGTGTCGATTCGGCCATTGAATGTGCAGGATCTCTGCCTTGCTCAGAATGCTAACACTAGAAGCTTTCTTGGAATTGAGCAAGATTATTCACTTATGCGGGACCATATTGGTGTCCCATACTGCCAGACAGTTCTGGAGACCTTTGGCTTCTCCAAACCAGTTTTACTCAGCAGCTGTTCCAGAGGCCCTGAAGCATTGCCAGAAAAATAGACACTTGCCAGTCGTACTCTCACTCCAGGCATTTCAAAAGGGCTGAGATGATGACGATGATGATAATGATGATTACCCTGCTACAAGACACCCCTTATCCAGAAATCCAAAGTCATGGGGTTACAGAAAAAATAGGTTCTCTAGGTTGGTTCTTAAGTTGAATTGGTATGTAAGTCATGTGTAGGTTGAGTATATGTAAAAGTTGAGGTTATTCATGAGTATAAGCAGATGGCAGGTTTGGAGGTCAAAATTATGGATTTTGAAATTATGGATATTTATATGGATTTTGATGCTATGAATTTTTATATGGATTTTGAAATTATGGTTTTATAAATATGTATTTTGAAAGTATGGATTTTGTTATTTCTCCCGATCTAATACTATTAGGTAACAATACTTCAGTACTTATGAGTGCTGTTGAAGGTTTGCTCTATGATTCATTAATAAAATGTTTTCTACTTTTATATTCTCAAGTCAACCGACACAAGAATGGCTAACTGGCTTACTGGAGAAGTAGAATCCATTTTTAAAAATATCTATATTCTATATTGGTCTCCACACAAATGTATTCCAGGACATTTCATCAAATGAAGTTCCAATCAAATATTATTTAATCAAAAATGCTGCCCAAACCCAATGAAAAGAATATCAATCCCCTTGTGACTGCATGACTGGAGATTTCTCTAACCAAGTGTTGCAATATGTGGTTGAGCCAGGCAGCAACACTCATATCAAAGAAATTCCGACAGAAGATCATGTGCAAGGGTGCGATCTGGGGAGGGGGGTCATTCTCAAACTGAAAAGGAAGACCCACTCTTGCTATTTGAGGGAGGCCTGGGCAGGACAGATGGGATCACACAACAACTAGTCAACTACATCTGCACCAACTGTAAACAGATGACTCTCATGAAATAGAGGATTCAACAACTCGAGGACCATATTAAGACCCTTAAGGACATTAAGGAACTCAAGGAACTCTTGGGTACAGCACAGCATGCTGTTCTAGGCACGCAAACCACATCACAGCAACATGAACATGATAGCAAAACTTATGGGGAGATCACTTCAAATGTGGACAAATGTGGGGTGGATCTCACACAAGTAGGAAAACACCTGTTTGCTCACAGACTCGCAAACTGTTACAATAAGTTTTAAAAGAATCAACACCAAGTATTTATGTGTCAAAGAAAACCTTATACTGTGTTAATCATTATATGCAGCTGCTAATTTATGTCAGCAAATAAGTTTGAGCCACACATGGTGGGGTATAACCACATGTGTTTTAGAATACAGTTCAGCTTTTTTACTCTGCAATCTCATTTGAAGGAAGATGAAGAATCCATGCTCTTTACATTCTGTAATACTTACAAGGAGTATGTAAGTTTGTTGCATTGTTTATTTTGTATGCAACACTGTTTTGACTCTGCTGACAAAAGAAAAGTTTTCTGCTTTTTCCCCTCTTGCCATTGTGCAAAATTATTGTGTCTTTTGTTTGGACTAAACTGAATTCCGCTTGAACGTAACACAAACTTCATCAGGCCCACTTTAAACTAGTTCCTTGCAAACAGTACTTTATTCACAACCTCAGGGAATCACCAAAAGGTTAAATGGAAGGTTGTACTAACACAACAAGGACCAAGTAGTGAGAGCACAATAATCCCAAATAAACAGCTGAGGGGAAGGTCCCAGGGGCTTACATGTCTTTACACTAATGCACAGAGCATGGGAAGTAAACAAGACAAATTCCAACTTTTAGCACAACACCACACTTATGATGTCATACGCATCACTGAAACCTGATGGAACGACTCCTATCACTGGAATGTAGCCATTGAGGCTATAACCTCTAACAGAAACAGAACAAAGGGAAGGGGAGGGGAGGGGAGGGGGGGAGTAGTCTTAAATGTCAAAAACATGACACAGAAGAGATGCAAGACTGCAATTCGGGAAATCAACCTGAAAGTATCTGGATAAGAATCAAGGGAATAGGTACTCAAAAAGATCTCGTCATGGGCGTGTACTACAGACCTCCAAGTCAGGATGAAGAACTCAATGGAGCCTTCTGTCAGCAGTTGACCATACAGGCACAAGGAAGAGATAGAGTAGTCGTGAGCGATTTCAACTATCCTGATATATTTGCTTGGGGGGAGGGGGGGACTCGGCCAAGAGTACAAAGTCCAACAAATTCCTTGCCTGCCTTGCAGACAATTTTATGGGCCAGATGGTAGAAGAGGCAACAAGGGGATCAACCACTCTCTATCTCATCCTAACAAACACGGAGGACCTGATCAATGCAGTCAAATTGGTCGGATTCTTAGGGGCAAGTGACCATGTACTCCTGCAGTTTATGATTCTGGCAGAGGTATCATCATATACACAATCTCAGGTGTCTATAGGGAGGAATATAAACTAATTTTCACTTATCAAAGGACACCTGCTACTGAAACTCTGTAATGGGGACACGAATCGTCCTGGGCCATTTTAATTCAAGTAGAGTTCTTCGTTTAACAGGAAGTGAATGAAAGCTGACTTCTACCCATTCTCTACTTCATCAAAGACTTCTCCTCAGAATAAAGTGACCTGAGGTAGTGGGTCAGTGAAAAACACCTCCATACCCTTTAGTATCTCATGTTGGAGCAAAAGCATATATATTATTTTATCCTCAGAGTCACACGTCTCCTATGACCTACAGGGCTCACCTTTTTTACAGCTTTTGCCTTGTAAAAAGCAAGCAGGTTTTTGATTTAAGAGTGACCTTCCATGATCATAAAAACATCATCTTTGTGTATAGTACAAATTCTGAAATGCTCTCTGTATTTTGGGGTATAATCCATCTCATGAGATATTGTGTATATCTGCCTCATGATGATGATTATGATGTTTGGAGTATTAACAGAAGATGGTTGCAAGTAAAAGCAGAGAGGAAGAACTCAACCTTATGATTTTTTTCAGCTTAAAGCCTCACCTATCTCTTTTTAATGCTCATTTTTTTACTATAAAATTTTAAAAAGGGGAAAAACAGGACAAAAGCAATGCAAATAAAGCAGATTTTCTTAATATATTATACCGAAATTATTTCTTACAAATCTAAATCTAAGACAGAGACACTTAACTACTATCTACATACATTAATATATGTCCACAAAACATTCTAACTGCTGAAACGGAAACTAATAAAAAAATTATGCTCATTGTTGATTTTTATCTCTTGTTATTTTGCTCCCTTTAGATAATACTATATAACCATACATCTACTTTTAAGAACATTCCTCTAATTCATAAATCCAGTAGTTGAAGGTTGCTTCCATTGTTGCTGTAAATAGGTAATAAACAAGTCCCAACTTTTTTGAAGTTGGTCAACAATTTCTGCTTGGTCAAATATCATCAGTTTGTTCATCTCAGCTAGATCACAGATCATATATTGTATGTACTTATTTCAAAACATTTAACATATTGCAATTGGCTTGTGACATCATCCTTTCCCAGATCCATACATGCCTCCCACTCCCCAATATCATTTATATTCATATAGGTAAAGGAAAAGTTTTCCCCTGACATTAAGTCTAGTTCTGTCCAATTCTGGGGGTTCGTGCATATCTCCATTTCTAAGCCTAAGAGCTGGCATTGTCCATAGACACCTCCAAGGTCATGTGGCCAACATGACTGCACGGACCAAGTTTGGTTCAATTCCATCCTTGGTGGAGTTCAGAATGCACTTTGATTCCCCCAGGGAGTAAGAAGCTACACCTTGAAACTGCTAGGGGCCCAGTAATTCTCAACCTGGGGTCCCCAGATGTTTTTGGCCTACAACTCCCAGAAATCCCAGCCAGTTTACCAGCTGTTAGAATTTCTGGGAGTTGTAGGCCAAAAACATCTGGGGACCCCAGGTTGAGAACCACTGTTAGGCCATTAAATGCTAATCAAGGTAGCCAATTGCAACATTCACACTTGCCTCCAACAGACTTGCCTCCAACAGTTCTTTCTCCTACCCTGGACATTCCCCAGATATATAAACCACACTTTCCTAGTTTCCAACAGACTTCATAAACTCTGAGGATGCCTGCCATAGATGCAGGCGAAACGTCACCAGAGAATGCTTCTGAAACATGATCATACAGCCCGGAAAACTCAAGGCAACCCAGTGATTTCGGTCATGAAAGCCTTCAATAATACAAAGCTACATACTTATGTATCCATATTTCACTTTGGTTTTGTGTGGAACTTTCATCAGAAGCCAGAAGAGGGGGCTTTTGATCTCTCTCCCCGCCCCCCACTCCCCCGCCTGGTTTGGAAAATCCCACCCTGGAAAGTCTTGGGAGTCTCTCCTCCTGCATGGGTCGTCCAGTTGACTCATGGGTTGACTCATGGATTGATACCAAAACCTCCTCTTCATCTACCCTTTCGGTTTCGGGACCTTTCTCTCAAAAGCAACCTCTTTCTTCTCGCAGCCTCACCCTTGAAGAGCAACCCTTTGGATTAAATACCTCCCCCCACGCACCCACACACACACACAAATAAATGAAAGCCCTGGGAGATAAAGAGCCCCCTTCAAGCTTTACAAAGCCCTCCTTTGTCTCTCTATTGCTATCTCTAGAACTACCAGATTTGCCTGCTTAGCAAAAGTTTCACCCCAATAAAAGGAGGTAGGAGAAACCAAACATGTAGCTGGGTGCATTTACATTGTCGGGCTATATTCCGTTTCTTCTCTATTGGCTGTCTTCAGAAAGAACTTGAAGACCTGGCTTTTCCGATGCGCCTTCCCAGATTAGGAAATCCCCACTACCAAGTCCCATAAGCACTTTATCAGAACCAATGATTGCTGCACATTGCACATCGCACTTGCCCTGGAAACCCTTTACACACCTCCTTGTCACATCAGCACTTTTAATCTTTGTACCCACCCTCTGGCCCGGCCCAGTTTTATTGTGTTTTAGTGTATTGTGCCTGTTGTTTATTTTGCTTTACTCTGTTTTTAATTGTTTGATTTGCTTAGATTGTATTGTTATGTTGTGTGTTGAGGCCTCGGTCTGTGTAAGCTGCATCGAATCCTTTGGGAGATGCTAAAAGGTAAAGGGTAAAGGTAGTCCCCTGACATTAAGTCCAGTCATGTCTGACTCTGGGGTGTGGTGCTCATCTCCATTTCTAAGCCGAAGAGCCAGCGTTGTCCGTAGACACCTCCAAGGTCATGTGGCCAGCATGACTGCATGAAGTGCTGTTACCTTCCTGCCGGAGCGGTACCTATTGATCTACTCACATTTTGCATGTTTTTGAACTGCTAGGTTGGCAGAAGCTAGGGCTGACAGCGGAAGCTCACGCCGCTCCCTGGAATCGAACCTGCAACCTTTCGATCAACAAGCTCAGCAGCTCAGTGCTTTAACCCACTGCGCCACCGGAGATGGGAGATGCTAGCGGGGTACAGATCAAGTTTAATAATAATAAAAATAATAATAATACTTCCTTATACTAGAGCAGG